CGAGTAGTCCAGGGCGGTCTCGACACCCTGGCGCCGCCAGGGCGCTCCGCGCCCCAGGGTTGAGGTCTGGAGGGAGCCCCGGGAGCACTCGGGGGCCTGCTGAGGCCACCTGGGACTGCTCGAGGGGCCTGTTGATGCCAGCCAGCTGGGACTCTACCTGGGGGGAGATATCTTCGCGCAACCGCACGGCGGGGACTGCCCAACCCTCAGCGATCGTGGCCTCCTGATGGAGAGAGGATCGCTTGCCGATTCCAGGCCACCAGCAACTTTCGACCTGGAACGCCCGCGCTGGGGTCGCCGCCGTGTCGACACGACACGAGCCGCATCCACAGACACTTTCGGAAGCCCGTGCAAATTTCCGGGGCCAGCGCCTGACCCCCCTCCGCGCGCGCGGAGCGCGCCAGGGGCGGCGCCGCCGGAGGGGGACCAGCGCCGACCCAGGAAGTCGTCCCGAACCTCTGCGCTCACGCCCTGCTCCTGCCGTGGCGACCCCAGCGCTTCCTGAAACCTTCCTGAAACCTTCCTGAAACCCAGCGCTTCCTAAAACCTTCAGGAAAGTTGTTGGAAGGTTTCTTGGAAGGTTTTTGGAGAAAACCTTCCTGAAACCCTCCTGAAACCTTCCTCAGGAAGGTTTCAGGAGGGGTTGGCCGAACTGCCGCACCCACCTGTGCTCCTGCCGGGACGACCCCGGCGCTGGCTGCTGACACCGCGTGGATGCCTTGCTCGATGGCGGCTCTCCGACGGCGCCGACGGCTCCGTGTGGGTCGCGTCCAGGCCACCGCCGGCGTGCAGCCTGGCACGCGCCGCGGGGGTCGCCGCCGCGCCGACACGACACAAACCTGACGCGATTGCCCTTACGTCGGGCGTGTCCCCCCCCCACAGGGGGATTTTCGACGAAAGATAAGACATACCCAAAACATGCACCAACCGAAAGGTAAAAAATAGTCAAAAAATAGTCCCCAGACTATTGTTGGACTATCTTTTGACTATTTTGGGGGTATTTTTTATTTTTCGTCGAAAATCCCCCTGTAGGGGGACAGGCCCGACTTAAGATTACCCGCCTCACCGACCCTGGCCAGGTCTTCCGAAAGCGCAGATCGTTCAATGATGGGCACATGGCCGCTGGCGGCGCTCAACCCGGAGCGACCGTCGGTGCGGTCGCCGCCGCGTCGACCCGTCGCGACCGTACCGTGTGAAAGCCTTCTCTTCCTCGACTGAACGGCGCCAAACGTCCGTGCGCGAGAGGGGGGACCAGAAAAGCACGAGTCGGGGACGCACTAACCCAGGTCAGCACAACTTACAAGAACAAAGAACGCCATAAAAATCAACTTTTGGCGCTCCGCACAGATTCCTTAGATCTGAGGTGGGCTCCCAGCGCAGATCCAACAAAACCGCGCGGACTGCCAAACGTTTAGGTTTATGGCGTTTTTTTTCTTATTCGCCTTCGACAAACAAGGGTCGGCCAAGGCCATGTTGCGAAATCGCTGCCGCGAAGTCCCTGGCCGGCCGCTGAGTAGCTCCGAAACCCAAGACAGCGGAGGGCGGAACAGGGACATCGGCCCCACGTGGCTCTCAAACCCACGTCAGCCGGCCCAGACGTGCAGCGTCTTGACGATTTCAATCGACCCTTTCCCCAGGACCGGCTTTTCATCCCCATCCTGAATCGTTTTTTGACAGTCCCAGGGCCCGGCGAGGGCCTCCAAAGGCCGACAATGCAAAAAACACCTCAATCCTGAACTTTTTCACGACGCGATCATCTCTGGGAGAGGAAATTGGCTGACACCCGTTGCGTGCGCCCCGATAGAGGGGGGGGTGGGGATGCGCCGGCGCGCTGCTCGCGTGAGGGCTTCAAGTGAAGGGAGGCTCAAGTCGGGCCTATCCTCCTACAGAGGGATTCTAGACGAAAACTAAAACAGAGTTGAAAAATACCCCCACATGGCCAAAGAATGATCAAACAACCGTCCCCGGACTATTGTTTTACTATTTTTGAGCATTCCTCCTGTAGAGGGACACGCCCGACATGAAGGGAGGCCCCACTGGCCTCGCCGCGGAGCGGCGCCCGCCAGCGATTGGCGCACGCCGATCGATGCGCCCCTCACCGCACCGCGCTCGGGAGCCCTCGGCGCAAGCGTCCCTCGTTCTGAGAGTCGGCGCTTCAGGAATGGGACCCTGAGGGGTAGTAGTGTTACGTCGGGCGTGTCCCCCTACAGGGGGATTTTGGACGGGAGAAAATGATACAATACCCAAAACGTACTCCCGAAATAGTCTAAAGCTCGTCCCCAGACTATTTTTGCACGAGTTTTGAATATTCCTCCTGTAGAGGGACAGGCCCGACTTCAGGGTAGTGCCCCAAAAATCCGCCACCGTGCCGCTGGGCACGGAGTGGGCGTGTGCTCAGGTTCTCTCACTACCCCTCTAAGCCTCAGCCCACACTCCTGAGGACCCCTCGGGCCAAATCTTCTGGAGTTTCCCGCGGTTCCCCTCGGGTGTCTGGCATCTCGTCGCGTGACTTTTTCGGAATCAAGAAAGAAGCCCCAAGAGGCACCACGAGGCCCCCAAGAGGCCCAACAGAGGCCTTACGAAGCCCCCAAACGGCCCCCAAGAGGCGTCTAAACTGCCTTCAAGAGGCCTCCGAGAAACCTTCCACGAGATCCTAACGAACATCGAATAGGCCTCACCCCCACAACTCAGGCACGGCGGCGGGATGGGCCGGAGGCCATCAGATGGGACAGGGATCCCGGGCTGAACCTTCGCAGTTTGAGTCCGCTCGTCATCGTCCTGAGGAGGAGGAGGAGGAGGAGGAGGAGGAGGGAGAGGAGGAGGAGGAGGAGGAGGAGGAGGAGGAGGAGGAGGGGAGGAGGGGAGGAGGGGAGGAAGGGAGGAAGGAGGAGGTAGGAGGGGAGGAGGGGAGGAAGGAGGAGGGGAGGAGGGAGGGGGATGAAGGGGGGGGGGGGGCAGGAGGAGGAGGAGGAGGAGGAGGAGGAGGAGGAGGAGGAGGAGGAGGAGGAGGAGGAGCAGGGCCCCGCCCCCCAGGGGCCCCACCCTCGAGCCGCCGAAAACGACGGGGGGGAGGCCGAGGCCAGAGCCAGCAGGGAAAATTCGCAGACCCCCTCGCTCGAGCAGGGGGGTCGCGCGCGCGCGCCGTCGGCGTGCGAGGAAAACCTGCCGCCCGTGGCGGCGCAGGGGAGGCGTCGGGTCGGGCGTGTCCTCCTACCGGCGGGCTTTGGAAGACAGAAGAGCACACTCAAAGAATACTCGAACAAAAATCAGAAGGGCACGACAAATCGTCACCTGACTATTTGTTTACTATTCTTGAATATTCCTCCTGTGCAGGGACATGCCCAAAAGGGAAGCGCTGCCGGCCTCTCTCGGCGATCCGCGGGTCAGCTCCCAGGCTCCCAGGCCCCCCGACGGCGCGGCCTGTTTCGTGGCGCAGGCCTCCAGAGCTCGGGAGGCCCCACGGGAGGCCTGGAAAGGGGCACCAGCACCAACACAGGGGCACTGATCGGCCTGTCGTCCACCCCCACTACCGCCATAAGTTGGATGGGGGGAAGGAGGAGGATGACCAGGAGGAGGAGGAGGACGAAGAGGAGGAGAAGGAGGAGGGGGACCCCCTCCCCCTTCAACTTATGATGGTGGTGGTGGAAAACATGCGCATCCTCCACCGGAAGAAGATTACCCTAGGTTCTGGTGCTAGTGGTACTAGTTCGGCCACTTGGGAGGCCCGAGTAGTACCCCTTTCACCGAGATCGGGAGATTTTTCTCTCGGCGGAGGCACGCCGCCGATGTAGGCCTCCGACCCCATCCCCTCGGGGGGACTCGAGGGCGTCCACGAGGGGTGTCTGGAAGAGGGGGCTTAGCAAACCGTGGCTGGAGGCATGCGCGCGGGCGAGAGGGGGCCAGAGGACGTGTTGAAAGAAGAATAGGCGGCCATGAAATCTTGGAGACGTCACGGCCCTGGCCACGAGATCCACACACCTCTATTCCTCACCCCCCTAAGAAGACGCCCCCGAAAGACTACGCCCCCGAAAGACTACTTGTCGTGACGACCCGGTTATTGGTTCCTGACACCGCGTGGGTCATGCAAACTTGAAAAATCGCTGCTCTCAGACGGAGCCGATGGTTCCACTTCCGTCGATCCCAAGCAACTGACAACGTTCAGCCTTGAACGCCCCGCTGGGGTCGCCGCCGCGTCGACACGACACAATCCCGCCGTACCCACCTCTCGGGGGCGGCCAAGGGGGCGTCCAAGAGGGAGGGGCGCAGATCACGGCCGGCGGCATGTGCGAGGCCGGGGAAGGGGGGGGTGCGGGGACGCAGTGAAAGAAGAAGGGGCGCCATGACATCTGAGGAAATATCATGGCCCACGCCATGCTATCCACTCCCCTAGTCCTCACCCCCCCCTCTATATCCACATCCAGTGCGTCTTGGAGTTTCGGACTCTCTTCCCAAGAAGCATGAGGCGCACTGGACATGGACTATAACCTGCCTCCAAAAGGCTCGATGTTTATCCATATCCAGTGCGCCTCGGCCTTGTGGCGCCCCTTCCAAGAAAGACCAAGACGCAGTGGATATGGATAGAACCATTACCCGCACCCGAACCCCTCACCGTTCGTGGCCGGGCCCGGGCCCGGAGGCTGGCGCAGGGGAGCACGCGCCGACCCCTGGGCCCGGGACGGGCCTGGCCCGGGATCGGCAAGGCGGGCGGCTGCTGCCCCCAGAATGGCCGAGGCCGTTTCTTCTTCGCGTGGGACGCAGAAGGACATACTGTATAACACACATCTACATCAGTCTGAATCACCGTATATAAAACGTATGTGTATATACATGCATACACAGGTGTATTATTGTTGGTTTGTATGTATGGATGTATGTATGTACGTCTGTCTGTCTGTCTGTCTGTCTGTCTGTCTGTCTGTCTGTCTGTCTGTCTGTCTGTCTGTCTGTCTGTCGGTCTCTCTATGTATGTATGCATGCATGCATGCATGCATGTATGTGTGTATGTATGTATGTATGTATGTATGTATGTATGTATGTATGTATGTATGTATGTATGCATACATTCATGCATGCAAGTATGTATGTATGTGTGTGGATGTATGTATGTATGTATGTATATATGTATGTATGTATGTATGTATGTATGTATGTATGTATGTGTATACGTGTGTGTATGTATGCATGTATGCATGCATGTATGCATGCATGCATGCATGCATGCATGCATGTACGTATGTGTGTATGTGTGTATGTATGTATGCATGCATGTATGTATGTATGTATGTATGTGTGTATGTATGTGTGTATGTATGTAGGCGTGTATGTAGGTATGTGTGTATGTATATATGTACGCATGCATGCATGTATGCAGGTGTGTATGTATGTATATATTTATGTATGTATGTATGTATGTTTGTGTGTATGTATGTGTGTATGTATGTATGTATGTGTGTTTGTGTGTATGTGTGTATGTATGTGCATCCATGCATGCATGTATGTATGTATGTGTATGCATGTATGTATGTATGTATGGATGTATGTATGCCTGTCTGCCTGTCGGTCTGTCTGTATGCATATATGCATGCATGTATGCATGTATGTATGTGTGTACGTGTGTGTATGCATGCATGCATGTATGTATGTATGTATGTATGCATATGTGTTTGTACGCATGTATGTATGTATGTATGTATGTATGTATGTATGCATGCATGCATGCATGCATGCATGCATGCATGTAGGTATGTAGGTATGTAGGTATGTAGGTATGTAGGTATGTAGGTATGTAGGTATGTAGGTATGTATGTATGTATGTATGTATGTATATGTGTGTATTTAAACTTTGTGTATGCGAATGTTTAAATATGCACATATATATAAACATATATATATATATGTCCACCTTGGAGGCGTGCGTCCGACCAGATCATGTAGTACAACCCTCTACCTGCACATGGTTTCCCAGGCGGTGTGGCCAGAGCACGCCCGCCGCCCCTTCCGCGGCGATGCACACCTCGCACGAGTCTGCTTGGATGACGCAGATCGCGGGCAACCTCGTTCAGGATTGGAGGCCTCCCAGATCTAGGTCGGGCGTGTCCTCCTCCAGGGGGCTTTGGGCGAAAGATGCAAAATGGTCACAAAATGCCCCCAAATGGTCGAAGACAGTCGACGAATCCTCCCCAGACTATGTTTTAACTGCTTTGGAATATGCCTCCTGAAGAGTGACGCGCCCGACTTAATCCTAGATGGGGTCGGCGTAAATGGGGTCGGAGGATTGCACCGCATCGGCGATGCACCGGCGATGCATCGCCGACGTCGGCGGCGCATCGGCGACGCCAGCGCGGAGAAAAGCGGGCCCCACAACGAGCCGCATCGCCGACGCAACGCCGATGCATCAGCGGTGCGGCGCGATCCTCCGACCCCATCTACTCCGACCCCCATCTGAGAGGCCTGGAAGGATGGCCCCTGGGCCTGCAGCGGGCCTCGAGGATAGAAAAACAAAAAACGATCCAAGAAATCGAGCGCCCAACAATTTCTGTTCATGGCCTTTGTTCTTCTTCGAAAAATTGAGTCGGAACAAGTGGAATCGGCAGAACTCGGCAGGCTAGTCTGCCTCCAATGAGACATCGGAACCCAGATCGGCACCCCAAGCCGAACCGCATCGGAATCGGACGCAGTCGAAATCGGATCGAACCGATTCGGAGGCATCGAAACCAGCCTTAAGTCGGGCCCATCCCTCAACAGGGGGGGAATGTTCAACGATAGCCAAAAAGTGGCCTGGGGCCTATGTTTTGGGGCATCTTGGGGCATCTCTTGAAGCTGTTTGGCGTCTGTCCTGTTTCTCTCGCCTAAAATCCCCCTGCAGGGGGGACAGGCCCGACCCGACGCCGGCCCCGCGCGGGCCTCGAGGAGGCCCCACACGGAGAAGGGGCCGCCCGCGGGCGGCCACGGGCGCCGAGGGGCCCGGGCGCCGCGGCGGCCCGGGCGGGGCCGCGCGCGCTCAGAACCACGGGATGGGCGCCCCGAGGACCTGCCGGGCGGCGCCGCGTTGGGGGGTGGGGGGGGGGCGGTGCACGTCGGCCAGAGTCGGCTACTCCAGAGTTCGTAAGAGAAGGGAGGGGGTCTGGGCCCTCCAAGGCAAGCCATGTCAGACCTCCCCCGTGGGAGAACCCTCCCAAACATCGTCCCCAGACCCCCCAGGCCCTCCAAGATAGCCTGGAAGAGACCCCCCCCCCCCCCCCCCGAAATGGGAACCCCCTCCCTTTATTACGAAATCTGGAGTACACGTAAGAGTGACCCTGGGCAAGAGTGACCTTTGGTGCGCAGCTCAGCGAGGGACGCGGAGGGGGGTCAAACATGGGCGCGCAAGCCGCTGCTATCGCATCGCATTCGGCGACTGGGGCACCCCATTGGGCCCGCACGAAAGGTCACTCCGGCGAAAGGTCACTCTTACGTCTAGTCGACGGAAGAAGTGGGTAGAAACTAGAAGTAGGAAGGCGGATGAAGTAGATTGGCTTCAGGCCTCCCCAGAGAGTAACAGAACGCAGCAGAAGCAGATCGATTCTTGAAACAGGAAGGCGCTCGAAGTTGATTGGGATCTGGGAATCCAGATATACCTACTTTCAACGACGGGCGTGTACACAGGTGAGCGTTTTCTTCTGCGGCGTGTCGACATTGGGCGGAAGGGGGGGGGAGGGGGGGGGTCTGGCTCCAGCCCTCTGCTCAGCGCGACTGTTTGCAACAGCACGTCCACCTTGGGGGAGACTCCACCTGCTCGAAACAGGCGCCAAACACAGCCAATATCTACTCCAAGGGGCGGGCAGGGGGCTTGGGCCGATCGGCAAAACCATGAGTAAGAAAACGACTACCAGGGGGGGGGGGGCGAAGGAGCGTGCATCGTTCGCGCCCGTTTTTGGGGCTCCGAAGGGGCCCCTTCGGAGCACAAATGGTGCACCTTTCTTCAGCACCCCCCACCTACATGTAGCCCCTCCCAATGACGCAGAAACCGGAGCCTTCAGGAAGATCTCGAAGCCGGTGAACAGCTGCCAGGTGAACAGGAGGAAGCAGATCACGTTCAGGCCGATGTGGGCCGTTCGGGCGGTCTCGTTGCCCTCGCAGATGGCGACGGAGGACGACGACGACGAAGACGATCACGAGGACGACGACGACGACGACGACGACGCCGCCGACGCCGACGCCGACGCCGACGCCGACGCCGACGCCGACGCCGACGCCGCCGCCGACGCCGCCGACGACGACGACGACGACGACGACAACGACGACGACGGCGGCGGCGGCGGCGACGGCGGCGGCGGCGGCGAAAGCGGCGGCGGCGGACGACGACGGACGGCGGACAAAAGACGACGACGATGTACGGCGTACGACGACAACGACGACCCCGAACCTCCGCTTGAGCGCACTGCGACCTCTGGGGCGGATCCAGGCGCGGTGACGGAGGGGCCCCCGGAGACCCAAGAGGGGCGAAGCGCATCAGATTCCCCTCTTTCCCGTCGTCGTCTTCGTCGTCGTCTTTCGTCGTCGTCGGTCGTCGTCGTCGTCGTCGTCGTCGTCGTCGTTTTCGCCGTCGTCCATGACGGCGACGAAAGCGGCGGCGGCGACGACGCAGTCCGGCGGCCTTCTCCATCCACGGTACGCACGCGGCAGCCAGGGCCCAGATCACGCAGATGCCCACGCCAGCGTACAGGTGGGGGCCTGGGCAGAAGCGGGCAGGAGAAGAGAGGAGAACGAGGAGGGGGAAGGTATGAGGGGAAAGGGGAGCCCAGGGGATGACCAGCACTCAGACTTATATTGTGTTGTTGGCGCACAGATGCCTACGCCCAATGCGCCTCCAGATCTCTTGCATGGTCGGGGGCGCAGGTTTCAAAACTCTTCCTGTGGCGCCTCGAAAACTCGAGGGGGCGGGGGGGGCGATCATCACGGTGCCCGATTGTCAACACCATTGCCTTCACCTCAACTTTTACCTTAAAGCTCAAACGGACACACAGACGTGTACTTACACATCGATCACACTTAACGCAAGCATTGTCTCTTATCTCGCCAAGCACAACTAAGCCGAGGAAGTCTCAAGTACCCTTCGACCTGGTACTATTCTAGAGAGGAAAGAGGGACGAGGAGGGGAGGAGGAAGAGTAGAAACAGAAAGGAGGGCGGTCAAGAAAAGGGAAGATTTAAAAGGGATTTGCAGGAGGCTCTGGGGATGGGGAGCTCTCGGGAAGGCCCTTCCCCCACTTCCCCTGCAAACACTCCCCTCCCTCTTCTCCCATTCGTCCTCCGTTTCTCCCACTTCACTCCAATTGGCATGGCAGAAACGGGCCCTGGGGGGAAAAAAAGGTCCTAGACAGACAACCAGGATAAAGGAGATGGAAAGGGGGAACGAGCGAAGGAACGACAAACACATGCGGACAGCGTCCCAGCCTAAGTAATCATCTGAGACTTGGTGGATGACCCCGCGGCCGTAGCCACCAGATTCAGTGACGTGTGTGACACACTACGCGTCAGACGGAGGGGGCAAAAAATTGCCGATACTGCTACTCCCCTCCGGACCTCTTCCGGGGGTGCGTTCTTACTGAAATTTCGAAAACCATCCAGCCGCGGCGACGACGGCTCCCCAGGACGAGAAACGGCCTCGTTGTCTTTTCCTCTGCTGACAGATGTAGAGGGCAGAAAATCCACCCCCATCGTAACCACCCCGACAAGCGAAGCCGTTTCGCAAACGCCCCCAAAGAGGGAATCTAACAGATGGCAGGGCTGTTCCGCAGACGCCCAGGGCCGTTCAGAAAACGCCAACTGTCGGGGCCGGGAGGTTCTTCCTCCCTCGAAGGAGAACGAGGGAGAAGAGGGCAGAGGAGCCCAGGGGGGGGGGAGAACGTGCACCAGAGCGAGGAACGCAAGTGGAGGAGCCACACGGGGTGACCAGATCACGCTGCTGGCGCGCGTCGCGTCACATCGCTCGGGCCTCCTGCGGCGGGTCGGGGCGCCCCCGGGCGCCCCCGGAGCGCTCTCTGGGACGCGCGGCTGCTGATAAGATCATCCCGAGGCTGGAACTACATTCAAAACGTATGTTAAGGACGGGTGGCAGGGACGCAAGGACACTTGGAGGCCGAAGTTGGGACTCTTTGGGCGGCGGGCGACCAATGAAAACGGCAAAGGACGGGCCGCAGAGGCAAGAACACAAGGGTCCCCCAGATGAAGGCGCGCGTCCTTACTAGGCGCGCGCGTTGGCTGTAGGTCAGGCATGCCCCTGCCTACAGGCGGATGTTTGACGAAAATAAGCATAGTCAACAACATATTCAAACAGTGCCACAAATGGTAGGACAACTGTCCCCAGACTACTTTTACTATCTTTGAAGATCCCCCTGTAGAAGGACAGGCCCGACTCAAGGCAGGAAGCCCGCCGAGGGCCGACGCGAGTGCCTCGAACCGCGTCGAACCCCTGACATTGCCCCCCTGGGCCTACTACAGTCAACCCGTAGAAGAATGACGCACGATAAGGATGCACGGGCCCTCGAAGGCCATGTCGGCCCTTTGCGGGCGGGGCGCGGCCAGCGACAGCGGCCGAGGGTGGGCCGACGGGGAAGGATGCAGGGCCAACCTTGGGAAGTGGCTCATCCTTGCTGTGCGGGTTGGCTGCATCCTCCCCCCCGCGCCTGGGAACAGCTTCTCCGCGCGGAAGAAGGTGTTGAACGTGCCTGGGGGGGGGGGGGGGGCGCCGCCCGCGCAAACCTCGGCACGCCCGGAGGAGGAGGAGGAGAGGAGGGAGGAGGGGAGGAGGAGGAGGAGGAGGGGGAGGAGGGAGGAGGAGGAGGAGGAGGAGGAGGGAGGAGGAGGAGGAGGAGGAGGAGGAGGAGGAGGAGGAGGAGAGGAGGAGGAGGAGGAGGGGGGAGGAGGGAGAGGGGAGAGGAGGAGGAGGAGGAGGAGGAGGAGGAGGAGGAGGAGGAGGAGGAAGAGGAGGATGAGGAGGATGAGGAGGAGTAGCAGGAGGAGGAGGAAGAGGAGGAGGACCCCAAGGCGGGCGGGACCTTGGGCCAGGGGCCGGCGGTGCGCAAGCCTCCCTCGGCGCAGCCAGGAGGCGCCGTGAGGGAACTCCTGAGGGCTCTGCGCGGCAACGAGCAGCTCGAGGCCTAACTTCCGTCGGCGACGAACGGACAACACACACCCGTACCCATAGGGGGGTCGGCGGGAGGAGGACCTGCTTTGGGTATGGGTGCGGGTTGTCAGACCGCGGGGGAGGCTCCCGTTCGAGCGGGGACCCCCATCAGACAACACGCACCCATAGCCCTCTCCGTCCTCCCTATGGGTATGGGTGCGTGTCGTTCGCTCGTCAGTCGGCTCCACGTCGGGCTGACGTCGGGTAAATTCTTGCTCTCCTAACAACGAGCGTGCGTCGGGTCGGGCCACATCGGCACGGAACCAACACCGGATCGGACCGGCTGCGCCAGGATGCGCAGCAGCGCCACGCAGGCGTCGGGCCGCACCCGACCGTCGGACGAATTACCGACATCGAATCGAATCGATGTGGCCCCTTCGGGGGGGAACGAAAGGGAGGGATAGAAAAAAGGGTAGGGCAGAGAATCAGCTCACATAGCTGGTTTTCCCAGCGCCTCCCGGCGCCGGGAGGCGCCCATGTATCGAGCTATGGGCCCGACGGCGGGGCCGAAACCAGCTGCATGCAGCAGATTTCGTAACCCCCCCTTTCCCTTCCCCCCCGGTCGTTCGGCCAGACCCCTGCGTGATGAGCCCGGGGTGCGCCACCCCCCGGCCACAGCCCCAAGCCGACCCCCCTCGCGGACAGCGGCCGCGCACCCAAGATCTCAGGCGTGCGTGAGGCAAGCCTCACCCCCGTCGGGGAAAGAACCTCCAGGAGGTCCCGAACCCTTCCGTGCGGGCAGCTTTCTTTCCGAGGGCCCATCTCTGATGGCCCGTACCCTGGACCCTGCGCAGGGGCGGGCGGCGGGCGGCGGCGTTCATTATCGTCGTCGTCGTGCATGGGCCCAATCGCGGCCTCCCAGAGGCCCAAGCGCGGGTTTCAAGCAGCCGGGACTGTCAACAATCACGTCGTCGGAGCTCTGGGGCGCCGCCCCGCGCGGGGTCTCCGCTGCAGTCCGTCCTGTCTGGTGCTCTCGGGCCCCTAAAACCGTGTGGTGACAGACCGCGTGGTGATTTCGGAATCCTCAACGTCCTCACCGCACCGCACGGCGTGCGCTGACCCCGAATCTCTCCCGACTCATCACGCGGGGTGGTCACCACGCAGTTTGAGGGCCCCACAATGTAGGGCCATAGCTCCGTTCTCCGGCGGCCGTCCGGGACGAGCGGGGCACTCCTGGAACGCTCTCGGCGAGGCGCAGCCGCTGGAAAGCACCGCGAGGCTGGAAAACCGCCGGGAACGAACGGCACAGTCCGCACACCTCGAACCTTGCAATGTGCAAGTCTCGGTCGTACCGATGAGGTCACCGCACCGCTCGGGGGGCCCCCGGCGGTGTTCCGACCCCTGACGGCACACCACCCCGGGGTGGCCTGCCCTGGGCCAAGGGCCAGCGGGTGCCCACCGCTCTCTCCCCCCCCCGCCCCCGGGGGGTGGGGAGGGGAGCTGCAGCCGCTCGGAGGACTAAGGCCGACAGCCCTCGCGGGATGTCGGGCCGCACGGGAGGAGGAGGAGGAGGAGGAGGAGGAGGAGGAGGAGGAGGAGGAGAGGAGGAGGAGGAGGAGGAGGAGGAGGAGGAGCAGCAGGTGGAGGAGGAGACGTGCCGTAGGCGGTGAAGAAAATGCCGCCCCCGAGGAGCAGCGAGCTGATCTGGTGGTGCCGGTCCTGCGGGGTGGGGAGGCGCACGCCTCCGACGCGCCGGTGACTGCCATCGGCGGGCGCGCGGCAGCGGGGCGCGTTGCCAAGAGAGGCAAAACACACGCGCAGCCACGCACACAAACAAACACACACAAACAAACACACACACACACGCACACACACACACACGCACACACACTATCGCGCACACGCACACACACACACACGCACACACACACACACGCACACGCACACGCACGCACACCACCCACAACACAGTGTACACACGCACACACACACACACGCGCGCACACACACACACACACGCACACACACACGCACACGCACACACACAGACATGTGAACACGCAAACGCACACACAACACACATGTATACACACGCGCACACACACATTTTTGAACCAGCGGCGTAGAGGGGTCCTCAAGCGCGGGCAACAGATGGATGTGCACGCACACACACATACACATTCACGCACGAACACACGATTGGGCATTTGAGCCGCGCGCGCAACGGCGCAGCGTCGCCAAGCAGTCCAGAAACCCGAGGAACGCACACAGACACAGACACACTGACACACAGACATACAGACACACATAAACATTCACAGACACACACACACATATATATACAGACACACGCACACAGACACACAAACACACAGACACAGACACACACACACAGACACACACACACAAACACACACACACACACAAACGCACACGACCGCGAACGCGCACGCGCACGCGCACACGCACACGCGTACGCACACGCGTATCCACCCAGACCTCGGATGTCCGCGCACACGGCGGCGGAGGCCACCGCCTAAGGAATCCAGGCCTTCGATGCCACGGGAGCGACGAGCATCGGATCGGTAGATCGGACTGGATCGGAACATGCATGTGATCGTTGGCGGTGCGCACAAAGAGGGTGGAGGGAGGGGGGAGGGCTTCTTAGAAGGAGGCTGTTTCTTAGAAGGCGCTGGCCTTACATCCATAGATAAGGCCCGCGCTTTCTAAGAAGCACGGGTGCTTCTAAGAAGCCCTCCTCCCTCCCTCCACCCTCCTCTGCGCGCGGCTGGGATGGGGCCGCATCGGCACGGCGCCGGAATCGAATCGAACCGTGTCGGCTGCGTCAGCATGCGCATCAACGCCGTACAAGCGTCGGGCCTCATCGGATCGTCGGAATACCAGACTCGCATCGGAACCAGCTGGCCGGAATCGATGGTTATCGATCAGGACCGATCGGATCGAACTAGTCCCTTGATGCCGTGGCTTCCTCAAAGCGCGGCGTGGGCCTACGCAGCTCTGGACAGCGCGTTTCACGGGCGCTTGCCTTGGGAACGTTCGGCGGCGCGTTTCGAACCGGGGGGTTGAGCCCCCCCCCAACACCCGGCGCCGTATATCCAAACCAAGGGAACTCCCCTCCCCCCCAATGGCCCCCCTCCCAAAACCGCCCCCCCCCCTCCCAGGGGGAGGGGTTCAAAACCCCCCCCCGTACGCCGGAGCCGGCGGCCGCCAACAGCGCCGACAGCGGGAACGCAGGGACGATGACAAGAGGCACCCCAACTGGGCATCGCTCGGACGTCCATTCCCTGTGTTTTTTTCGGTTTCGTGCGTGGGGTTTTCGCCAAATCATGAAGGATGCTCCTCGATGGTCCTCGCCGAAGGAAAAATGCACACGTCCGAGCGATGCCAAGCCAAAGGGGGGGGGTTCAACCCCACCCCCCTGGCGCCGGCGCCGGCGTCGGCGCTGGCGGCCAGAAGCGCCGGCGTTGGCGCCGGCGACGGAGGGGACGCGGCGACGGTAACCACCACTACCACCACCACCACCACTGCTACCACCACCACCACCGCCTCAACCCACCACCACCACCACCACCACCACCAACAACCCACCACACAACCACCACCACCACCACAGCCACTACCACCACCACAACCACCACTACCACAACTCACCATCAACCACCACCACCACCACCACCACCCCACCAACAACACAAAAACCCACCACCACTAACACCGCCACCACCACATTTTACCACGCCACCACCATCACCACAACCACAACCACCACCACACCAGCACACCCCACCACCACCACCACCACCACCACAAACCACCACACCACCACCACCACCACCACCACCACCGCCACCACCACCACTACCAGCACCACCTCCACAAAACACCGCCACCACCACAACCCACTACCACCACCACCACCGCCACCACCGCCACCACCCCAAACCACCAGCACACCACCACCGAACCACCACCACCACCATAACGCACCACCACCACCACCACAAACCACCACCACACCACCACCACACCACCACCACCACCACCACCACCCACCACCACAACCACCACCACCACAATGCACCAAACCACCACCACCACAAACCACCGCCACCACCACAACCCAGCACCACCACCACCACCGTCGTCCTCGTCGACGCTCCCCGCCGCCGCCGCCGCCGCAGGCTGGCGCCGGCCCAGAAAAGGAAATCGTCGTCCCCGCCGCCGCCGCCGCCAGCCGCCCGCCGACGCAGGCGCCCGAGGAGAGAGGAGAGGAAGGGAGGAGAGCGGGGGGGCGGTCGAAACATCCCCCCTCCATCCAGGGGGTGGGGGGGTCCGGTTCCACCCCCCCCCCCTCCAACGCCAAGCGACCACAGAACGCGCTCTTTCGCAGCTCTCGACCTCCTGGGTCTGGTCTTTCCTACGGCTTGCGCATGCGGCGAGGGATCTTGCCACAGTGGATCGGGGGGCACCTCCGCCGCAAAGCCTGAGCTTCGCAGGGCTGCGCGGCCCCCTCGGGAGATCAGGGACGATCGTGGGACAGCCGCTGGCAGGCCAATCTCTCCTTTGGTGCGCCTACTATGTCGGACAGTTTTTCTGCTGTTGGCCAGTTTTCGCTGACTCTCTTACGTTTGATGTTAGGTCGGGCATGTCCCCCTACGGGCGGATGTTCTACGAAAATGAAGGAACAGTGCAACAAATAAACAAACATAATCAACAACAACTCGAAAAATCGTCCCCAGGTTATTGTTTGACTATTTTTGAATACTCCTCCTGTAGAGGGCGGTCCGCCAAGTGGCGGAACAATGCCATACTACAGGCATCTCTTGGGGGGCACAACCAACACATATCCGCATCCGCAGCCTCGCGGGCCAAGCCCGTGGGTCGCGACCACGCAGAGACGGGAGGGGCCAGGAGGGGGGGCGCGCGACCTGGGCACTGCCCTCCTGGGCCTCGACAGCCAGGATGGGACGGGAGGAGGAGGAGGAGGAGGAAGAGGAGGAAGAGGCGGAGGAGGAGGAGGAGGTGGTGGTGGTGGTGCACTTCGGCTTAAGCGTTACAGCTGTGCTCACGTGAGGAGGAGGAGGAGGAGGAGGAGGAGGAGGAGGAGGAGGAGGAGGAGGAGGAGGCGGAGGAGCCGGAGGAGGAGGAGGAGTCCTTGGGCCAAGAGGCGGTGGGAAGCAGAGAACCTTTCCGAGAGAGGGTCTGGCTGCTCAAGAGAAACGACCCCCGCACCCGTCGGTCGGAAGAAGTAGGTCAACACATGAAGCAGGAAGGCGGATCAAGTAGATTGGGCTCAGGCCCTCCCAGAGAGAAACAAATCACAACAGACGCATGTCGATTCTTGAAATAAAAAGGCGCTTGAAGTAGATTGGGAACTGGGAATCCAAGACTGCCTACTTTCAACGACCGATTGGTACCCCTCCTGGGGGGTGCCTTCGGATCAGAATCTGGAAGGGCAGTCCAGCCGTGAGGTTCAGAGAGCTCCAGGAGGCCAACGAGGGACAAAAAGACCTGCCAAAAAATCATCGATCCTCGACCTCAGCCCTGGAACTCTTGTATCCCCCCAGACCCTCGAAATAAAACCAAAACGGTGCCCTCTGAGCCGGAGCCTCAGTGGGAATCCAGCCGAGGGGGCGCGACCGCTCCAAGAGGACCACAACTTTGGGCTCGCCTCGAAAGGTCCTTGAACTTGCCGTCGGCGAGCTCCTTCCGCGTGGCGGTCAGCTCGTCGATCTCCTGTGGGCTGCGCGCAGGGCGTGGCCCGGGGCAGGGGGCGACCTCCGGCGTGCGGCTTCGAGGCATCGGGGGCTGCGGGGGGGAGGCCAAGACCGCAATGCTGGGGGACGCCTGTGGGCCCCAGGGCCCCGGGTACACAGGGATCCTGGCAAGCCATGACTTTCTGGCGCCACTGGGGCAAGCGCCAGCAGCGGGTCCCAGCATCGTCGCCCACACTCGGCGGCGAGCGAGGGGGGGGGGAGAAGGAGAAGGCCCTCTCAGCAGGCGGCGGAACCGCTTAGAAGCCCTCACGCCTTCTGAGAGGTTTTCTGCGTCTTCGGGGAAGGATTGAAACACTTCTCAGAAGGCCGGGGACCTTCTGAGCCTGCTGAGAAGGCCCGCCCCTTCTCACTTCCCCCCTCGCTCGCCGCCGATCCCAGCATCGTCGCCCATTCGCCGTCTCCTCCAACTAGACTTTGCAGAGTCCTGCCATGTCACGTCCTGGCTCCCGCGGCCCTGAGGGCTCGCACCATTCGGGGGTGTCCAAGAGGGGGGCGTCCAGGAGGGCGGTTCGCAAACCGTGGCCGGCGGCCAGAGGCACGAGCGCGGCCCAGGGTGGGGTGGGAAGCAAGCGTGCTGAACAAGAATCGGCGGCGAGCGAGGAGGGAAGTGAGAAGAAGAGGGCCCTCTCAGAAGGCGGCGGGGCTTCTCGAAAGTCCTCGGGCATTCTGAGAAGTGTCCGGGCCTTCGGAGAAGCCATCGAAATCTTCTCAGAAGGCCGGAGCCTTCTGAGAAGGCCCACCCCTTCTCCCTTCCCCCCCTCGCTCGCCGCCGAAAGACGAGGGTGCCGTGGAATCTGGGGGATACCAACCATGGCCCCGACCATGCTATCCCCCCCTTTTGGTCGCCCCCGCACCACAGGTCACCCTGGCGAGGGGCCACCCCTGACGCGCGCAGCCCCGGTCCTTCATCATCGCCGCGGCGGCGGACGAGACCTCGCCATCGGGGCCCTCGGCCTCCCACGGATCGGCGGGAGGCGACCGCCGACGACCGCAGAATCCAGCGACGACCGACGACGACGGAGGACGATGACCGGCGGCCGCGACGACTACGACCATCGACAACGACCACGACCGACGGCGGCGGAAGCCGGAGACGACCAACGACGACCGCAGGCGCCCACGACGATCGACGACAAGTGAGGGCGAGGACCGACAGCGGCGACGCCGGCGGCGGCACGCCTCCTTGTACTGTTTCTTGAGCACCGTGAGGTCCGCGCCCACCGTGCGCAGCTGGCGCCACTGCCAGCCGAGGTAGCCAGTGTAGGCCGTGGTGAGGAACAGGATCGCCATCACGAAGGGGTGCACCAAGCTCGACGCCTCCCTCCTCCACTCTTTCCTCCGCTCGCCTCCTCCTCCTCCTCCTCCTCCTCCTCCTTCTCCCTCCATCTCATCCTCATCCTTCCTCCTCCTCCCCCCTCATTCTTCCTCCACCCCCTCCCTCCCCCCCTCCCTCCCTCCCTCCCTCCCTCCCTCCCTCCCTCCCTCCCTCCCTCCCTCCCCCTCCTCCTCCTCCTCCTCCTCCTCCTCCTCCGCCTCATTCGTGATCCTTCTCGTCCTCCACAGTAAGTCAATATTCGATATGGATGCTTGCCTCTTCCGTCCCCCGAAGCGCCGAAGACGTGCTGAGAGTAGTGCGCCTCCCTCCTTCGCGTACTGTTCTTACACACAGGATGGGTCCGACTTGGTTTTGTCCACCTACATTTTCCGATCCGACCGTTCTCTGTCCTTCCAAAATGGTGTTCCTGCTGCAGCGTGGGCCTCATTTTAGAATCGCGGTTGTGCTCCCGAAGTTCAGAATGGCGCTGTCACCCCAGCGCGGGCCGTTTTGGGGGATCCGAGACCTTCCTATCGTTGTTGCCTCGCCCTTTTCCCCTCCTCTGCCTTCCCCTAAGCTAGTCCTTCTGCTCCTCCCGCTCCTTCCACTCCGATTCCTGCTGCTGCTGCAAATCCCCGTCCTCCTGGTTCCTTTCCTCCTCCGCCTCCTCCTCCTCCTACTCCTCCTGCTCGTGCTTACCATCATGCTCCTCCTCCTCCTCCTCATCCTCCTCCTCTTATGTACGCAGCTCCACATATTCCGATTGCGCAGAAGACGATGGGGTCTAATTTGGAGTTCCAGGTCCGCTGTGACACGGGTCCGTGGATAGACAGAACACAACGCAGTGGGAAGGGATGGGAGGGAGGGGTAGGATGTCAGATGTGGCGCTAGCGCGCCTACGGTTGGCGTTCGACAAGTAGCGTGCAACATCGATCTCCGCAAACCATGCTATCCCGGTGAGGCGATCCCCCCCGCGAGGGCCCCTTCTGTGCACGCCATCCCCCTGTCAGGGCTTCTTCGGTGCACGCTATCCCCAAGGTGGTGATGGCGTGTAACAAGCCCGCTGGCGACGCCACATCGCGCGCTGTCTTTGCACCGCCATACGTGGCTCATCCTGCCCCCCCTCTCTCCTCCTGTCTGCTCCTTCCCCCCCTTCTCTCCTGCTCCTGCAGGACAGGGAGCAGGGCGCAGGGAGGAGCAGAGAGGAGGCGAGGGAGGAGGGAGGAGGGGAGGAGGGGAGGACGAGAAAGGGAGAGGGAGGAGAGGGCAAGCGGAGCAGGAGCAGGGAGGAGGGGAGGGAGGGAGGGCAGAGGGCGAGCAACGACCACCACCACGCTGCCCGCCCTCGCGGCCTACTGGCTGCCTGGCCAGGCCTCCCTCGTCGGAGCCACGCGCTGCAAGCTGCCGTGCTGCGCCTACTCTGCACCCGCATGCGCTGTGCTCTCCTGGCGTGTGCCGTTGTTGAAGGGGCCCCAGGACACACACAAGTAAATACACACAAACATAAATATGTCCCATATTTTCCCATATTTCCTGGGTTTCTGTCTTCCCCCCCCCACTTCCCACATTTTCCAATCTTTTCTGCGGAAAATCGAGGATTGATTGTGTCTGTGTGTGTTTCTTCTCCTCCCTGAGCATGCGCTGTGCTCTCCTGGCGCCGCTGCCGCTGTGCTGCCGACTCTCGACGGCCAGGCCTCCTTTAGGGCTCCCAACTTCGCGCTCTCGCGCTGCGCGAAGCGCGAGAGCGCGAATAACTTCGCGCCCTCGCGCCGCCCCCCCCAAAGGGAGAAGAGGAGGACGAGGAGGAGGGGGAGGAGGAACGAGGACCGCGAAGCGCGAAGCGCGAATAACTTCGCGCCCTCGAGGGAGCCCTTGCTGCCTGCCGCCTCCGCGGCCGCCTGCCTCAGCGCCCCGCGCACCGGTGCGCCCCGCCCGTAAGACCGAAGGGGGCCCTGGGACACACAAATAAATACACACAAATCAAAGGATCCCCCATATTTCCCCATATTTTTTGGATTTCCGTCTTCCCCCCCACTTCCCATATGTTCCTACATTTTCTGGGGGACCGGCGATTGATTGTGTCTGTGTGTTTTTTCCCCTCCTGAAAGGCCTCGGGGAGCTGCGGACCCGGGTCAATCCAGGCCCGGGTCAGTCGGGCCTGGCAGGATCCTGCAGGATCCTGCGCACCCAAGCCCGGGACGACGCGACCCTGGCCCTGCAGGATCCTGCATTATCCTGCGCCCAAGCCGGGGTCAATGCGACCCTGGAGCTCCACGATCCTGCAAGAGTCGGCGCCCTCAATGACCCCCGTTTGCATTGACCCCGACTCTTGAGCCCCGACGACCCCCGCGCCTGCGTTCGCCGGGACGGGCGAGAAAAAGTGTGCGATGGTGCGCTCCCGCCTTTTCCCATTGCCCCGTTCCGCCTCTTGTCCCGACTCGGCACATCGCTCCGTGTGCTCGCTACACGAAGACGACGACGAAGACGGCGACGAGGGCCAAGACCGTCGCAACGACCCCGGCGACGACCACCACTACTAGGGGAACAAAAAGTGACATAAACATAAAAACTCGGAGGTCCGCGCGGATTTCTCGGATCGGCGCTGGACCCCCCTCCCTGGCGCGCGGAGCGCGCCAGGGACGGCGCCGGAGGCGCCGCCGGGGGGCCCCAGCGCCGATCCGAGAAATCCACGCGGACCTCCGAGTTTTTATGTTTATGTCACTTTTTGTTCCCCTAACTACGACCACGACGGCGAAGACGGCGACGAGGGCCAAGACCGTCGCGACGACGCCGGCGACGACCACCGCTACCACCACGACGGCGACCACGACCGCCACCTGGACATCTGCCGATGCGCTTGCTTCGATCTGCGGCCCCGGCTGTTCCCACCGCTTCCCCGAGATGTTTTGAAGGGGCCCCAGGACATACAAGTAAATACACACAGAAAAAAAAGATACCCCAATATTTTCCCATGTTTTGGGGGTTTTTGTCTTCCCCCCCCACTTCCCATGTTTTTCCACATTTTCCTGGGAGTCGACGATGAATTGTGTCTGTGTGTTTCTGGCCCCCCTGAAGTTTTTCGCCCCGCATCCACTGTGGACGGTCCCAGGGCCCGCGAAGGGGCCTACAAGGGCGCAGCGAGGAAAGATGCCAGGAATGAAAACACCGCATCGTCGGAGGGAGGCCTGGGCACTGGGCATCGCTCGGACGTCCATTCCCTGTGCTTTTTTCGGTTTCGTGCGTGTTTTTTTCGCCAAATCATCAAGGATGCTCCTCGATGGTCCTCGCCGAAGGAAGAATGCACACGTCCGAGCGATGCCAAGGACACGACGGCGGCGGCGGCCACGACGGCGAAGACGGCGGCCGCCGCCTTGCCCTCCAGCGGGCCCCACACGCCGCCCTTGGCGAGCGCCGCCTCTGGGGGAGCAGAAGGCACCGATACCCTCTCGTGCTGCTACCGTCGGGGCGTTGACCTAAGGAACCCCAAATAAGGAACGAGGCCCCTGTTTCCCATAAGTTCAACCTCGATTTCCCATGGAAAACCGCAGGCAAACCCGAGGCAAACTGTGAAACATTCAAGGGACACCGAGCCCCTCCCCAACGAAAAGGGTTCCTTCTTCAACGCCCCGACTGTACTCCCCCGACCTCTCCTGGGGTTCGTGCTGACCAGACTGGGCTGATTCCTGGGGGCGCTGATTCGGCTACACGCAAGAAATGACCCTGGGCAAGAGCGACCTCTGGTGCGCGGCTTTCGGAGGGCCGCGGGGGGACCGAACACAAGCGCGCAAGACGATCCTGTCGCATCGCGCTCGGTGATCGGGGGGCCCCAATGGGCCCGCACCAAAGGTCACTCTGGCAAGAGAGCAGACATCCCCCCCATAAAAATCACCCCAACAAGCGGAACCGTCTAGTAAACGCGCCCAAAGAAGGAATCGACCAGGGCGTTCAATAACCGTCAAGTGTCGGGCCCAGGTGGGATTTCCTCCCTTGAACTCTTACGTGTAGTCGACTGATTTAGGGCTACAAACAATGACATGAACAACAAACTTGGAGGTCGATTTCTCGGATCGGCGCTGGGCCCCCTCCCTGGCGCGCGGAGCGTGCCGGGGGCGGCGCCGAAGCGCCGCCAGGGGGGTCCCAGCGCCGATCCGAGAAACCCGCGCGGACCTCCGAGCTTTTCTCTTTGTGTCAGTGTTCGGTCCCCGACGTGCACGAGGCTGGGTCCCCGACGTGCCACCGTCTTTGTGTTCAGGTTCATGCCACTGTTCGGTCAAGGCTTACATGTCTCTGAACTCTGACGCGCAACCAGAAATGGGTACGGAAAAAAATGGGTACAATGCACAACAACAACTGTTGTCCCAAACCAACAGCGGCCGCTGTTGGGCAGGCGGCCTCCTGTCTCAGATGGACACAGGCCGCGGCGGCGCGGACAGCGAGCCCTGTTCAAGGTAGGCAAGAACTGCTGTTGGGCACTGCACCCATTCTCTCCGTGCCCATCTCGTTCGTGCCGACGTTCTTCCTCCTCGGGGCCTCGGGCAGCACCCCGGCCACCGCCGCCGCCGCGGCGGCGGCCGTTGGCGCGCCCGCCCGCGCCGGCGCGGGCACGAAGGCGGGCAGCAGCGCGGCGCGCAGCGGCGCGCCCACGGCGAGGAGGGCCAGCGCGCACCTCGGGGCGCGGGCGGGGGGAACCGGCGCGGGCGGAGGAGCGCCGCCCGTGCTGCCCGCCGCTCGCTCGCCCTGAAATCCGCCTTCGGTCGGGCACGCCCTCCGGCGGGCGGGATTTTGGACGAAGCATCTAATAGATAGCCAGTGAAAATGTTCAGACGGAGTCCAAACATCGTCCGCATACCATTCTTCTGTTATAGCGGTGTTTGACGATTCCTCCTGTCGAGGGACGTCCCCGACTTAGAATTAGCCTGGCGAAGGACCCGTGTGGGCATGGTCGTTTTGGGCATGGCAGTTGTGAAAAATCGTCCCTGGTGGCCCGCCGCTCGCTCGCCCTGGGGAAACACACGAGCGACGAACAGAAGCGGGTCTCACGCAAGATGGCGTAGCGACATTGCTCACGAGCGGCGAGCATATCCGAAGCCGCGCCCTCGCGGTCTGGCCTCCGGGGCGCAATCCCATGGATACGCAATCGCTCGGACACGTTCCGCGCGGGGCGCCCGCGAAAAAAGCGCCCCACCGCTGGCCAATGGTCGACGCCCATGCTGCCGCCCGCCGCTAGCTCGCACGGGGGAAAACACATCGCTGTGAGGGATCAGCTCCTTGGAAGTTTACGTGGGAACGGGTGTAAGGGCAATTGAGCCAGGTTGATGGGCCATTCAAGCTGATTAGGCCTGGTAGTTCCCGAGATTGTTTGGCAGATTTGGCTTCGCAAAGCTGGCTAGACTCGCTTCAGGCAAGATCAAGCGCGATACAGCCCCATTTTGACCAAGGATCTACCAGCGCCGATGCTGAATCTAACCTCCCGCCCGTTTTGCCGCCCGCCGCTCGCTCGCACTGAACAAAAACATATGAGCGCCGAAAATCAACGGGTCCTTGCGCGCGGTGACATGGCGACCTTGCTCGGTGGCTTACGCGGGCCGCCAGCGCGACACGCCACATTGGAGCCGAAAGCGCTTACGCGCGACCGCAAGCGGGCGGCTTACGCTCGAATGTCGGCGCAATCGACCCCCTTTTGTCCCGACTGTTTTGCACGCCGCTCCCTCGCTCTGGACAAGAACACACACATCTGGGCCGAAGCCAGGACAGGGACAACATCGGACAGTGATAAGGCATGACTACCTACCAGGCAACCCCAACCCCACCCTCGAAGACCCAAGCTTCGGGTTGGCTGGGGTACGGGCTCCACACGTGTTGTTCGATGTTCCTCGACCCCCCCACTGGAAATCGACGGTAAATTTGGGCCGTCGGGTTGGGGTTGGGGTGGTTTGGTGGGCGGTGATCTCTGAGCTCGGGCGGTTCCGGCGGATGTGTCGGGCGCCGCGGCTTCCTCAGCGGGCTCCAGCACGCTCTGGAACGATTCATCCCTGCCCTGGCCCCACCGGATAGTTACTCGCCATCGCTCGGACGTCCATTTGTTGTGTTTTTTGGGGTTTCGTGCGTGGTTTTTTCGCCAAATGCTTAAGGATATTCCTCGATGGCCCTCGCCGAAGGAAAAATGCACACGTCCGAGCGATGCCAAGGTTAGAGGCCTCCCAGACGGGGCCCGAGTAGATGGGGTCGGAGGGTCGCGCCGCATCGACGATGCACATCGGCGATACATCGCCGACGCATCGGCGATGCATCGGCGACATCGGCGAAGCATCGGTGCCATCGGCGTGGAGAAAATCGGACTCCGCATCGAGCCGCATCGCCGATGCATCGGCGATGCGGCGCCATCCTCCGACCCCATCAACTCCGACCCCATCTAGGAGGCCTAGAGCCCGAACATCGCTGTCGGGAGCGGCAAAGAGGGGGGGTCCAAGAGGGGGGGGGTGCAAATCATGACCGGCGGCATGTGCGCGCCCCAGCGGGGGGGCCAGGGACGTAATGAAATAAGAAGGGGCGCCATGAAAAATCTGGGGAAAGATCATGGCCCCGGCCATGATATCCACCCCCCCCTAGTCATCACCCCCCTCTTTTCCGCCCCCGAGGGAAGCGCCCTTTCACCCTGCCGCCGGAGCACCCGAGCAGCCTGCTGCGGCGGGAGGCCGCGGGCGCCATGAGTTCCGGTCGGCTCGGGGAGGGGTCCTTGTGACGCGCGCGCGAGGCCCCTGGGGAGAGAAATCTTGCGGCTGAGGGACATGATCGGGAGGAGGAGGAGGGCCCCAGAAAAGAAGCCTGCGAATCCATTTGCGATGCGTTGCCCCATGGTTTTTTCCTGGAGATGGAGAAGTTCAAAAAGTATCATGCACCAGTGCTGATTCCATTGTGTTTTACAATGTTTCTGTTACCAAACGCATATACGCATGGAGATTGCTCGATGATAAATACGTCTCGATAAGAACACCTACGTTTTGAAACTTGTCAAACTATGCTAGGATACGTGCGCTCTCAATTCTTCTGATTCTAGAATCCGCCACTTTGCCGTCAGCACGTGGTGGAGTGCTCCAAGGCTCATGCAACCCTGAGAAATAAAGAGTTACAAAGTTGTGAGGGCCGGGCCGCCAGTTTCACAAGGAGTCCTGGAAAGTTCGGGGGATTCCTGATGATTGCAGGGGTGTGTCGCGTGCGTCCCCGGGTAGCGCGCCCAGCCCACGAGGGCCCCAAGACGGCCCAAGAATCGCTGCACGATCGGTTCAAGACGCCCAAACTGGTCTCCACTCGGCCGAAAAAGCCGCACCAAGAGGCCCCAAAACGCCCCAAAATGGTCTCCACTCGGCCCCGAAGACGCCCAAAGAGGCCTGCCCAAAATGGTCTCCACTCGGCTCCAAGACGCCCCAGGAGGCCTCCAAGAGCCGCCCCAAGCCGGCCCCGAGAGGCCAAACTTATTGTTCCCCTCAGGTGCTCGCAAGTTTTTGGAGCCCTCGACCTTTCGAGCTTCCAAAGCTCTATGACGGCCTAACAGGCCCCCCCAATATGGCCCACAGACGGCGCAAGAGGGCTCCAAGACGGCCCCAGAGGCGCCCAGGACGGCAAGAGGCCCCCTAGATCGCTCCATAACGGCCCAAGAGGCCTCCACGAGGGTCCCAAAACGGCCAAGTATGGCCCTAACGGCCCAAGATGCAAGGGCTCCTAAGTTCGCGCTTCGCGCTGCGCGAAGCGCGAAGCGCGAATAACTTCGCGCTCTCGCGCCGCCCCCCAAGGGGGAGAAGAGGAGGACGAGGAGGAGGAACGAGGACCGCGAAGCGCGAAGCGCGAATAACTTCGCGCCCTCGTGGGAGCCCTTGATAACGGCCCAAGAGGCCTCCACGAGGGTCCCAAAACGGCCAAGCATGGCCCTAACGGCCCAAGATGCGCCCACGACGGCCCCAGAGGCCCCCAAGATGGCTCCAAGAGCGGGGGCCCGACAGGGGGGCATTTTGAGCCCTCGGCCCCGGGAGGCCCCCAGGAGGCCACCAAAGGCCCCCCCCACAGGCCGCCGAGAATCCCCAAGAGGCCAAAAGCTCCAAAACTGCCGCCAAAAGGCCCCCGAGAGCGCTCCCAAGAAGCATCCCTGAGGACTCTGACCCGCAACCCAGGCACGGTGGCAGGATAAGCCTGAGGCCATGAGATCCGCCGCCCCCTGTCGATTCATCGCAGGGATGCCTGGCGTGCTGCACCCTCTCGGTTTTGGTTTTGTTTTTTTTCCAAAAGAACTCCCCCTGGGCCTCCGGCGCGTCCCGCCGGGGTCCCGGAATGTTCTTCCAGACCTGGCTCCAAAGGGTTTTTCCTGTTCAGACAGCTCCAAGACGGCCCAAGATGGCCTCCAAGACGCCCAAGATGGCCTCCAAGACGCCCAAGATGGCCTCCAAGACGGCAAAGATGGCCCGAAGATGCTTCCAAGACGGCCTGAGATGGCCTCCAGATGGCCTAAGACGACCCAAGAGGCCCCCGAGAGGCCTCCAAGACGGCCCAAGAGGCCCCCAAGAGGTCCTCCAGGAGGGCCCGAAGTGGGAAAAAAACATAATTTGTCTTAAGTTGTTGAACGATTGTGATATTTGCGCCTTTTCGGCTTTCCGACGGCCAAAGACGGCCCAGGAGGCCCCCAAGATCGCCCCAAGATCGCCCACGAGGCCTCCAAGATGGCCCCATGACGGCCCAAGAGGCTCCAACGATGCTCCCAAAAGGGCCCCAAGGCCGCCCGAGAGGCCTCCAAGACGCCCAAGATGGCCTCCAAGACGGCAAAGGTGAGCCCAAGATGCCTCCAAGACGGCCCAAGATGCACCCAAGACGGCCTAAGATGGCCTCAAGATGGCCCACGAGGCCCCCAAGAGGCCTCCAAGACGGCCCAAGAGGCCTCCAAGAGGTCTTCAAGGAGGCCCGAAGAAGCCAAAATCATTGATGTTCCTTAGGTTGTTGAATGATCTTGCATTTGTTTCTTTTTCGGCATTCCGATGGCTCAAGACGGCCCAAGAAGCCCCCAAGAGCGCCTACGAGGCCTCCAAGATGCGCCCACGACGGCCCAAGAGGCCCCCAAGACGGCCCCAGGAGGGCCCAAGAGGCGTCCAAGACGGCCACAATGGCCTCCAAGGCGGCTAAGATGGCCCCAAGATGCCTCCAAGACGGTCCAAGATGCACCCAAGACGGCCTAAGATGGCCTCAAGATGGCCCAAGACAGCCCAAGGGGCCCCCAAGAGGCCTCCAAGACGACCCAAAAGGCGTCCAGGAGACCTTCCAGGAGGGCCCGAAGATGCCAAAATCATTGATTTTCCTTAGGTTGTTGAATGATCTTGCATTTGCTTCTTTTCGGCATTCCGACGGCTCAAGACGGCCCAAGAGGCCCCCAAGATTGCCCAAGAGGCTCCAAGATGGCTCCATGCAGGCCCAAAAGGCACCCAAGACGGCCCCAAAACGGCCCCAAAACGGCCAAGACGCCCAAGATGGCTTCTAAGAACCCCTGATATGCCCCAAGCGGGCCCCAAGACGACCCAGACAGGCCCCCAAGACGGCTTCCGACAGCGTTAGACAAGCCAGCGACGCCCTAAGACGGCCAATCCCCAAGAAGCCGTCAAAGGCCTCCCAAAACCCTCCAAGAGGCCCCCAGGAAGCTCCCAGGAGGCCCCAAGAGTGCCCCACGAGGCGCCCATGAGGGCTCCTCCTCTTCCTCTTCATCCATCATCCTCTTTTTTCCTCATCCTCCCCCTCCTCCTCTTCTTGCTCCCCCACGCATTCCCCGAAGTCTTTCCAAACCAACTCGGGGAACAACTGGCCCGATAGCTTGGCCAAGCTCTGGCCCAGCTGTCGGCCACAGAGGCGCTTCCAAAAAAGCAGGGGGCGGCGGTGATTCGCCGTAGGCGTCTTCGATCCGCCGCCCCCTGTTGGCTTGCCACAATGGTGCCTGGCATACGAAATGTCAAACAACTTTTAGATCTTTTAGAACTCCCCCGGGGAACGTCGGCCCAGCGCGCCGGCCACCCGGAAAGTGTACATGTCAATGCCTGCCTCACCGAAGATGGCCCAAAATGGATTCCAAGATGCCTCCCAGACTGCCGAGATGGCCCAAGATGGCTTCCAAGATGCCTCAAAGACGGCCAAGATGGCGCCAAGCGAGCCCGAGAGGGCACCCAGATGCATCCAAGACGGCCCAAGATGGCCTCAACATGGCCCACGGCAGCCCCAAAAAGGTCTGCAAGAGGCCCCAAAAGCCTCCCAGACGGCCCGAGAGGCCCCCAAGAAGGCCTCCGAAACCTCGAAAAGGCCCTAATCAAGGATTTCCCCTTGGTTGTTGAATGATTTTAATATGTGCTTCTTTTCGGCCTTCCGACGGCCCGAACCCAACAGAGGCCTCAAGATTGCCCCAGAACGGCCCAAGAAGCTCCCAAGGCGGCCCAAAAACGGCTCAAGAGGCCTCCAACACGCCCAAACATACGTAGCCCCCGACACGGCCCTGGATCACCCCGAGAGCCCGAGTGGGCCCAGAGAGGCCCCCAAAACGGCTCCCGAAGGCGTCAGACGGGCCAGGAATGCCCGGAGATCAGTAACCCAAAACTTCCGAGAAGCGCCCAACGGCCCTCGGGAAGCTCCCAGGAGGCCCCCGCAGTGCCCGCAGGGGCTCCCAAGATACCACCTTCTCCTCCTCCTCCTCCTCCTCCTCCTCCTCCTCCTCCTCCTCCTCCTGTTCCTCCTGTTCCTCCTCCTCCTCCTCCTCCTGCTCCTCCTCCTCCTCCTCCTCTTCCTCCTCCTCCTCCTCTTCCTCATCCCCCTCCTCCTCTTCCTCCTCCTCCTCCCCCTCCTCCTCCTCCTCCTCCTCCTCCTTTCCTTCCTCCTCATCTTCCCCGGCCGGCATCCTCCCCCAAAGTTCCCCGAAGGGTTTTCCCAACGGCTGTAAACGCCTTGGATGTGGAATCCGTGCCCTGGCGCATGTACTTCAACGCGCCCGTCTTCCCTGGCCCAGCAAACCGAAGGCAGCGCGAGGCCAAATACTTGACCTGTCGCCTCGCGTAGAACCCGCACGGCATGCAGCAATACAGTTCATGACCGATAACCCCACACCGTGTGAGGTACATGGGCCTTGGCCAGCACTCGTGGCTTGCCAGGGCACCCTGTGTGGATTATCGAACTGCGCCGAGCAGCGCTGGCACCGCACACTCGGCACCCCCACCTGCTCTCAACCTTGTGAAGCAAGCGGCCTCGATCATCAGTGGTGAGCTGGGGCGCCATCATGGGCTCTTCTCATACCGTCACGGCTCCCTAGAAACGTTATCGGCCCTGGGGATCCTGTTTACCTCTGGGAAATTCAATAGAGCGTGCCTGGAGCCTCGTGAATTGCCGACCGGAATTTCTGGCTGCTCGATTCGTCCGTCCAGCTGAAGCGCCACATAATGCTCAGGCGCGCCCCTCCCGACTTCGCGTGCTTATCGGCCTGCTACTTCCCAGGATCACAGGAGTAGGAGAAATCGCAATTCCCCCGTGACGTCCTGTCCCGTGCATGACGGCATCCACTGAATATCTACATTTACAACTCCTACATCTCTCAACTTCCGAAAAATCTGACGCCAGACTTCCCCGATGAGGTTCTGAAGCGTTACGCAGAAGCCCGGCCCCCCCCTGGGGTCCAGGGGGAGCCCGGGGCCATGCTCTTGCGATCTGCGATGATGGTATTTTCTCGGGCCCGCGAGACACAGGGCCATCTAGAAGGCGCAGTGCTCGGCCAAG